CAAGCCGCCGAGTGCAACTACTACCACCTAGCATGCAAAATTCAACCACGCCAGCACACGAAATTGTGACGCACTTCCGCATGGTCCAAATCAAGGAATGTTTTTTATAGAAAATGGACTAGCAGTGTCCCCAAACACAAAACTTTCAAAGCATACGCCATGGCCAAGGACTCGCGAGCAGCTGCAGAGTAATCGTTTGAAGGCGCAAAGGCGGCAAAAGTAAAAGAGCGGTTCTGACGTCATCATAACTTGCTGCCTTGTGGTCATGTGAGGGAAGTAGGACGGTCACCAAGAGTTACCTCATCGGGTCTAAATAGCGCAAGCGAATTGATCGCTCACGCAAACATCGAAATTAATTTAGAATATATTCCAAGGCTATATTCACTGCTGATATTTTGCAAATGATATACTCGGGCTCACGCGAATCGACCCCGCAGGTCATCTCAGCCACAAAATTTTGCGTCATTACCAAAAGACTGGCATTGCTGGATTGTTTCCGCAAACACTAATTGTCTGTTTTAACATTCTTTCTCATATTCTCATATTATTTATAATATAACTTAGTTGATGGATTTGATTGATTGATATGTGGGGTTTAACGTCCCAAAACCACTATATGATTATGAGAGACGCCGTAGTGGAGGGCTCCGGGAATTTCGACCACCTGGGGTTCTTTAACGTGCACCCAAATCTGAGCACACGGGCCTACAACATTTCAGCCTCCATCGGAAATGCAGCCGCCGCAGCTGGGATTCGATCCCGCGACCTGCGGGTCAGCAGCCGAGTACCTTAGCCACTATACCACTGCGGCGGGGCTTAGTTTCATGCTAGTAATAACAAGAGAGCCTTGCAGAAATACTTTCGAGGTATTTCAGTGACAATCGACTATCTGTGTCCTCCTACTATAAAGCACCGCTTTCACAGTAAACAAAAAAGAGAAAAAAATTAATTACCCTGTTTTATACAGCGAATTAAAGCTCCAGCTGAACTTCTTATAGTGGTTATGATCGGGTTCATATTCGTAAAAAAAATGAAGGCACGTTGAAAAAATATATCGTGCCTCTTTTGTGTAATCGAAACGGACAGACTAAACGGGGTTCGAAGTCAGCTTTTGCACCGGAACTAGCCTACCCAGAACGTTCATACCAACACGTCCCGAACTACTCTTTGCACGCATTATCGAAGAATTTTCCAGTATGTCATGCAAGTGACCCTTACTAGCGGCCTTTTCAATAAAGGAGAAAGTTGAGGCGTTCACGTGTCAACTGATGAAGGCTGGATTCGCGGCCGAAACGTCCATAAAATCACTTTGTACGTGCGTCTTCTTCACTGCATATATATATATATAGATAATATATATATATATATAATATATATATATATATATATATATATATCTATATATATATATATATATATATATATATATATATATATATATATATATATATACATTATTATTACCACTACCTGTAAAGCCAAATTTTCAAACTCTCCTTTGAAGTCTCACCCGACCATAACATGCAAGAACTACACTATGCTTTCGCGAAATATGTGCGGACACCTCCAGGGAGCGCACAAGCAAGGCGGATCTTTTTTTTAGGCGCGCCCGTTAAGATGAACGCAGAATAGGTGGATCGTCACCTAAACTCGACGAGGTTTTGCCCCGCCGCGGTGGTCTAGTGGCTAAGGTACTCGGCTGCTGACCCGCAGGTCGCGGGTTCGATTCCCGGCTGCGGCGGCTGCATTTCCGATGGAGGCGGAAATGTTGTAGGCCCGTGTACTCAGATTTGGGTGCACGTTAAAGAACCCCAGGTGGTCAAAATTTCCGGAGCCCTCCACTACGGCGTCTCTCATAATCAAATGGTGGTTTTGGGACGTTAAACCCCACAAACCACCTAAACTCGACGAGGAAACTGATAGCACAGTTCTGCTAAGCCTGTGGTTGCCAGACTGATTCTAGGTCATGGTGCTCGCATGTCGTGCAAAACACTCGCTAAGTTCTATTTAAGTGCCCGGTAATATCTTTAAACACTAAGAATGAATATGAAGTCCCTCACTACGACGTACGTTATAAGAATATAGTTCTATTTTCGCATACAGCAACATAATTATATAGTTTGAATGCTCACCCCTTTTTTTTTCAGAAACTGTCATTCAATTGGGTTTATTAAAAGAAATATGTTGCTTCTCATTATCTACACATAATATGTGCATGGTATCAGTTACAGTTATTTGAAATAATTGTTTAAATCATGTCAGTTTTTCTTCGTGCAGCATTCATCTGAATGACTGATGGTGTAATAGATAGAAATTATGCAAAGATGTCTTAAATTTGAGATTCCAAGTACCTATGTGAAAACTTTCTAGAGACCCCCTGCAAAGGCTTCTTACTGATCGTAAAGAGCATGTTCTCGTTATAAAGACATTGTAATGGAAGCTTATTTCAAGCTTCCTTTATTGTACACCAATGGCCAAGTGGGGACATTAGAAAGGGCCCGCGTTCTTTTGTGTGTCAACTGCTTGCTATAAAAAAAGCAGGGTAGACCAGTCAACGTTTGTTTTATTTTTTGTGGGTTAAGTCTTTTATACGTAAAGAGAGGTATTCTCTGTTATATTGCAGCAGGAGATTGTTTTGTACTGGTGTCCACCAAAAATTTACTCGCTTCATTTTCCTCATCAGCCAGTCAGTCAGCCAAAGAACTTCATTTCGTATTGGGAAGACGAGAGTCCCCCCTTTAGGGGGTACTGTCTCCGGGCCGCACTTACGGTGGCGCCGAGAGGTTCAGGCTCTCTGGACAGCTCTCTGGATAGTCAGTTTCCACCGTAGAGGGGGAACATGAGCCCTCTCGCAAGTTGTGGCACTGCCACAGCACATGTGCTGATGTGTGCACCACCGATGACCACAGCGCGGACAGAGTGGGTCATTCTTTCTCTATGAATTATGAGCATATAAACGTAGATGTATACGTGTTCTCTGTAACATTTGCAGGGTGATTGCCTGCGGTCTGTATAAGTGTCGGTGTGGAAGTGAAAACTTCCGACGCCCCAGTTGATATCGTGCTTACAGGCCTCGTTAAGTGTGAGAAGAGGGTGCCTTTGTCACTGTCCTCTTTGGACTCTGAGTGTCTGCTTCCGGCGCGGTCCATCAAAATAATGTTATGTTGTTTCGTATCTGTCTCAAATAAATAAAAATGATAATATAATGTATTGGGAAATTAATCTTTTTGCGTGCTTTCAATAGCGTCTACGTCTCTTATGGGTTTTCCTATTTGTTAAAATGCCGTTGCGAAAATTCAAATTAAGGTGCCGTTTCGCGTTGTCAAGACTTTATTATTATTAATAATAATATTATTATTATTAGTAGCAGTAGTAGTAGTAGTAGTGGTAGTAGTAGTAGTAGTAGTAGTAGTAGTAGTAGTAACATTATTATCAATATTTAAAAAATTATTTTGGTCCAGTGAAGACGCAGGAAAGTCCACGCACCACCCGGCTAATTCCATGTAGGGACAGTCAGCGCCAAACCTTGTTTTGCTTTGTTTTTGTAGTTCTGGCAAACAACCACAAAGCTGTGAAGCTGAGAAAAAAGCCGCCCTATGAGTTGTTAATTCCTCTGTCAAGTATTAGTTAAAGTATGGTATTCCATTTGGAGACGTAGTGAATGGTGATCCCATGATTTTTTGCAACGTTTACTTGAAAAGCCGGAACACTTAGAAAAGAGAATGCTATGTGTCAACAAAAAAAGTCTCAGTGTATTGGCCAGCTGTATTTCTCTCGACTCAGGAAACCACGCTGCACCTCTAGTATAATATTAACACCTTAATGAGGCATAATTTACATGATCACATTTGCGCGCGTTCAGTGTTTCTGAAAAACTACCTCTGTATAAGTGGTAGAATGGTTGATAACTATCCAATTTCTTACAAATCCTGCGAAAACTGGAGCATAACTTAAAAAAAATTAATTCGAGAGGCCAAATAGGGGAATGTTCCTAATAATTAAAAGTTTTCAAATAGGTTTCGTATCTCTGCAGAAGAGCGGAAGGGGGCATAAAGACTGTTGAGACGCGATCAGTAATGGCTAACACATTCATGGGAATCTGAAAACATTTAACATATTCGTTGTTTGTCCTAGTAACTTGTCAGCGAGGTAGGTTTCTTGAGCCTTCAAAGAACTTTCGTGGAGGTGTAATTTTGTTCAAGTCAGCGAATGCCCGTCCGCGAACGAATTTGCTGTTGAAAAATATTCTATACTTCACAGTGCGCACGTTAAGACGAGCCAAGTTACGCAAACCAAGCATACCAACCTTGAAGGTGATACCACACTTCCGCAAATAGGACGGAAACGTTCAGCTTTGACGATATGTGTCCACGTGTATCTGCGAACTCCGATACGAAGAGGCAACGCCCAAACTTGCTTGCGTACCCAGTAACTCGCCCTGTAAAAAAGAAATTCCCGCGTTCGCTGCGCAGCGACCTTTCAGGTCAAACCGAAAGTGCGCAGTAAATGTTCTCGCTTTTCATATTTTGCGTCCTGTTGAGCTGAAAGCCCGAATCAAGTGCTTTCGCCGCGACAGGCATGCAGATTCCTGGGCAAGAGGCGAGACGAACTTCGCCCATCCATTTCGGGCCCGTCTTTTTGCTGCCTTTCCTCGTTTACGGCGCCCTGTTCCCGCTTCGTTCCCGAAAAACACGTGCGCGCCAGTGAACGCGCCGGGAAATGGTGGCTAATTCATGCGCACATGTCGGTGGGTGCTTTCGGTGTCGTGAAATAGAAAGTAGGGCGACAACCAGCCACACGCCGCACCCCCGGTATATAAGCGCGCGAATCCCTGTTGAAAGCAAACTTTCTCTGTCCCATTCCAAACGACGCACCTGGGATCCATAGGATATAAACCGCGGCGTGGACGTCTGCTGCCTCTGCATCGTCGCTTATTTACAGTCGTCAGTCGTTGTTTGCGTGGTGCCGTCACGAACAAGGCAACGAAGAACGAAGAAATTATGGTGTTTCAGGTGAGATTGTGCGCGAATACCACGAGACTCCCCGAGTGAGTTTGATTTCCTTCGCTCAACGTTTATCGGTGAGCTATCAAAATGCTGTAAAAGGCTACCGGTGCTATAAATAGGTGACGACAAAAGTATTTCGCAACAAGGAAAGTTACTGCCTGCGTGGGAACGATACGGAGTGCGCGGGCCAGTCTCTTCTTTGTGATGCTACCGCTTCCTCATTTCCGCAGATGGGCGAGAAACGACTCTTTTCGCAGACCCGCCGCATTCTGAGGTTTATGTGCCTTGGTTCCTCGATGTACGTGGTCTTTGAATCCGCTCCCACAAGGTATAGTGCGGTGTTCGTGCTCTCGAACTGATCTCGTCGGAGGTTGTTCAAACTCTTTCCCACGACAACTGAGCAATCCCAGTTATGAAACTGAATGGCTTCGTTAAATTGTCGCAGTACTATGCACGCGCTAACAGCAATATCTCTTGACGGCCAGTGTGCAAGCTTTTCCAAAATCTTTACACCTACAGTGCGTGCGCCATTATTTTTATTATCCACCACATTTTCCTTGCTGTAACTGGCTTTCTTGTATGTACGTACATTTTGGACGTTTTCCAGATTTATAATAACAGTACGATTATCACGTTTCACCTTGTTGAACATGGTGTCCCTGATTTCGCACACTCTCTGAATTCCTGGTGATAGTCCGGAGTATGTAAGTACTTTCTTCCTGTAACATCTCGCGCGTTTACGTTTCTCAGTCCGGCTGCTGACCTGCAGTTCGCGGGATAAAATCCCGGCTGTGGTGGCTGAATTCCCGATGGAGGCGGCAATGTTGTAGGCCTGTGTGCTCAGACTTGTGTGCACGTTAAAGAACCCCAGGTGGTCAAAATTTCCGAAGCCCTCCACTACGGCGTCTCTCATAATCATATGGTGGTTTTGGGACGTTAAACCACGCACATCAATCAATCAATTAACGTTTCTTAGTCGACAAGGTGTCACGGTAATGCTGGCTAGTTAGCGTATGTAGTTACATTCACCAAATCTTTCGTATGCTGATTCTGTCATTAAACCATAGCATTTTATACTACCGGTGCAACCGAAAGCGACAAGCCTCACCTGCATTGCATACAAATTCTAACGAGCACAGCCAGTGGTGTTGTAAAGTACTTTAGGCATTTTTATAGAGTCGAGTACTACTTCGATTCTTCGGTATTATTTCTGCCTACGCCCCTACCGGAACTGCATGTCTTACAAAGCGAGAAACTGGCTAGTGGTTGTCCAGTACGCTCAGGTATCTTGCTTTTTGCAAAGCTCGTTGGAGCCACCCTTTTGTCATATAATATTGCTCCTTAGAACACGCCAGCTTCTATTTTAGCCGAGTTGTTAGGCTCTTTCGTTTAAAGTTTTCTGTCTAATTACAGAATGAGACGAAGCAATTAGGCTAGCTATGAGTCTAGAAAAATTTAGAAACCAATCCCTAATGTTCTCAACTGAAAATTATTTTAGGATTTGGAAAACGCTCCACTTCTACACGCAAACTTTCCCTATTGTTTTCAGGTGAAACACTAATAGACATATTTTTTATGGAAGCAAGCGTCTACCATATTACGCATTGATCTAATAAGAAATAGAAAGGGACAAAGCAATTATTACTCAGAGATAAAAGCACCTGACGCCAATGTATATTTAGGCCTATGAATCAAATGATATAGATATTTTGGACAACCACAGGGAATAAAATAAACTTCCTTCTTGAACAAACTCCTAAAATAATCTTTTGGTAGCGTAGAAAACATGAGTTCCGCTTATACATAACTTATTAGTGTTATAGGTTTTCCAACAACTGGTGCAAGTGGTCTATCTGAAGAAAAAAGTCATTTCTTAGGCGAGGGACCCGACCTCGGAAGAGAAAGGAATATAGTATTCATGTGAATTCTCCCTTTTCAAATTTTCTACCACTATGTTTCAACGAATCGGCCGTGGTAGGTTAGCAGGTAAAGTGTCATCCCGCTGCCTGTGCACACTATGGTGATAAAGAGATAATTAGACACGTCCTGTGTGACTGCTCGGAATATACCTAAATAGACAATACCTATCGATTACACTAAACAAGTTAGATGACCAGCCGCTGTCAGAAAAAAGTATACTGCGACATCGTCATGCCTAGTAATCACAGAAGAAGGCTGTGCAAGCGTTACTTAGCTCCTTGCAAACTGCTGGCCTGTCGGAACTGCTCTGGGTGGATTAAATTTGTGTGTGCGTGTGTGTCTGTGTTTTGCTCTTATTTATATTTTAATTTTCTCTTTCAACTCTCTATTTTCCAACTCCGGTGTAGGGTAGCATACCAGATACTAGCATCTGGATAACCTACCTACCTTGTTATTTTCTCGTTTCTCTCTCGGAACGCTGAGGACACGGGTTCGAGTCCCGCCCATGTTTGTCGCATTTCAATAGGGGCGAAATGAAAAAAAAATCCGTGTTCTTAAGGTGGATGATAAGCAGCTCTACATCTACCAATACATGTTCTTAGCTATACGGTGCGCCTCACCGATTTCATGGTTCTGCGCCGTAAGACCTCTTACGCTCATACAAACACTGAAGAACAAATTATTTCAGGACAGTAGAACCGTTCCTATGTAGCAATGAAACCAATTTTTATCGTGTGTCGTAAATAATGTGGGTGCCCACATCGTCGTACGTGGGAACCAGGTGTATACGCCTTTCGGCGTTCTTACGCGTTTACGACAAACCCCTGCGCCAGGTCGACGTGCAGCGACAAGGCGCAATGTGCCAGAAGAACTTGTTTCTACCGAGACTTTGCGGTCAGAATTAGCAGCATCGAGACATCCTATCACATGCGGTTACATGGACACTTTGTCGTCGTCCTTCGACGCAGATTGCGAGATTAGAGAATGACCTCAGGCCTCCGGCCTGCGTATATCTTTCGTGACGTGTCCAGGTGAGTGAAACTACCGCCATCAAGAAACGTCCATCTATGCTTATCACTGACTGCAGCCTTAAGAGGAAAACTGCGCGCGGTCTTCGATCTCATGGTTGCATGTAGACAATAATTTGAGATAACGGAGATGCTCATCAGTATGGTATTCCGACAGAAATCAAGGGAGCATCAGAAACAGCTTCCAAGCATGTGAACTTTTTGTGTCTTTGCACTGGCATTTCTTGACATTTCTTTTCACTGTCTTGCTTCTTCTCGTTGGTTCAAGGCCTCGCTCGCTCTGCACAATTCCGTTGTGCAGTGGTCCAAGCTCATGTTCGTACTTATCTTTACTAGCTTAGTTCTAGAGTTGTTGCTGTAGTGTCGGCTAATTTCAGAACTACTTCGATGGCCCCGTCTAGTAGTTACCTTGAACTGCTAATATATTCTGCAGCATAATGAACAGAAGGACATGGGAGTGCGTTTCTTTTTTTTTCTTTTCAAAGAGCATGCAAGGACTTTGCGCGATGAGTTAAACATTTAGATACATTGTGTCTAAATTGTATGAACAAAGCGTTGATGCCTACAAATTATCTAGATGTAGCATGTGCGGACAAGCTGAGTGTACCTGACTACAATAAGCGCTATCTATGACACCCAGCTTTTAATATGCTGAATTTGGTAAACCAGTGCACTCGCGTTTACGCTTCCACACCACAGGAAACGTCGACAACCAGAGACATTAAAAAATAGTAGTATAACAAGACATTGCAGCATTTGGCCTAAACTTGGATCTTACGTAATATGGGCAGCCATCATAACAATTTTGAACAATGAACATGGGAACTTGAAGCAGCCACACGAAGACAAGTTAAATCTAACAACTTGTTCATTTTATTGCGATAGCAATTATATGGACACTCTCGGCTGGATTTTGCCACCGGTGTGGACGTGGGGATCGGCGTCGATGTCGTGCACCGTACATGTATACGTACCTTTACATATATGGAAACGCAAGAAACACAAAAATCTCAGAAGATTACGCCGTGCGGAATCGAACATGGGAGCCACCGAGAGGTACCTTTTTCAGCGTTCAAACGGCAAGCTATTCATGTCTACCACTTACTGCTGTTGGCAGGCATGTTGGGGAGAGAGGGGGCTATCGTGTTTTCAGAATTATCAGCAAGATGGCGATGTGAGCGCGCAGCGGGTCTCATCTCTCTTGCGTTCTTTCACCTGCGTAGAGAATAAGGCGGTGTACGCTCGATCGCGCGCACTTATCTTGCAGTTAGGAGGATCGTACGTCTTGGCTAGCCTTTGGGTTTCATCGAAATGATTCTGTTGCAGTTACCAGGTGCACAAAGGTCACTGCACTTGTTGCACAGCTAAAACACAGCCTCTGTTTGTGAAAAGGGCGTGCTTTTCAGGCACAGCGAAGTAACAACTGAGACCCTTCATCAGTACCTGGGAGTTCGTTTCGTGCGTCATTCGTGCGTGAGAAACGCGGTGCACGTTTTTATCTGCTTGCCATTCTGCACGTGACCTTCAAATTTGTTGCTATTGCGTTCATTGCTTTGCCTTTGCGGCAAAGCTGTGACTTTTTCAAAAGCACCGACTGCCTGCCTCCGGTGGAATTTAGGGTGCACTCAGATATATAAAAGCGGGTGTTATTCCAATTTGTACTTTCTGAAATTCGGCTGTTATGGCCGCAAATTCATACTGTGGCCTCTAATAATCAGCGGAAGAAACTATTCATAATGCCACCTGTGCACATAAGACACAGCTAGAGCACCCGTCAGCTCACCTTCTTCACGTAAAAAATGAAATGATTTCAATTGAAAAGTATATTTTTTGTAACATCAGGTGTCCCTTTTCATTTCAATAAAATGTGTCCAGTTAGTGTCATTGCTTTACCTCAAGCAAAGATATTACATTTCAATAAAGCTTTATAGGGTATGTCCAGTAACGAAAGCATAAGGAACTGTTTGATTGGGGCGTAATGTCGGCTCGCACCCTTAACAAATATGGCTACCAACTTCTACATTTCTCGCACGCTTCTTTCATATTACCTGATAGCAAAGCGAAAAAAAACAAGTTAGCACAAACGACACTTATTAACCACACCATGATAAAGCGTATTCCTTGTTTCAGGTTTTGTTGATTGCCGCTGCTGTCACCACTGCTTTTGCCGGCTATGCCCGGCCGGCAGCAGTGGCGGCCCCAGCCGTTGCAGCTCCTGTTGTTGCCGCGGCTCCAGCGCCGGCTGTTCTTGTGCAGGTAAGCATAAAAGTGGCGTTCTACTTTTATTTATTTCATTTTTCACTTTCTCTTTGGAGACTACAGGGTTGCGCGATTGCTTGTAGACTTCAAATGCTGTTTTATTCTCTTTGTTTAATTGTTGCATATAAAACCAGCTATGCCGATGCATATTTCTTGAGTTTTAGCTGCTATCCCAACATGTATGGAAAAGCACGTTACATGAACATACAACACAGAGTTTGCTCTACAAGTGTGCTCATTATCAGTGCTCTTTCTCTTATATTTCTTTTTACCTCCATGTTTCCTTTTTACACAGAATAAAAAACAAGGTGCATCTGGTTATCTTTACTGTCTTTTCTTGTTTCCTTATTTGTTTTCTATACATATGTTCTCTTTCCCTTTACCTGTAAAGTTCCCTAAGAAGCGTAGCAATATCTCCAACTCTAGAGGGCCCAGATTGTGTTGCAGATAACAATACTTATTCTCACCTCAGCTGTTTTATTGCGCTAGCAATTATATGGACACACTCGACTAGATTTTGTCGCTGGCGTCGGCGACCACCGTCATTCACCGTATATGTCTACGTATCTGCATATATGAAAACGCAAGAAACATAATCCAGACAAAGCTCCAGCACGCGGAATCAAACGCCTGACCTCTTGCTTGTGAGCGCGTGGCATTATCCACTGAGCCACGAAGAAGCATCTCCTCCAACGTTCAAACGGCACGCTATTTTCTACAGCATACAGCAGGTGATGCCAATCTCGGGAAAAATGTGTTTTCAACATTACCAGCGAGATGGCGCAATGTGCGTGCGTTGCTAGGGGGCCTGCATGACCGTGGTCATGTAGGATCCCGTGGTCATGTAGGCTCCCCGGTTATGACCGAGGTGATGCAGGCTCCCTAACGTCACCAGATTGTCATGCCGCGGCGACACCCACTCAAGCATTCATCTCCTACGCGTACTCTGCCCCACAGTGCGGGAGGGGTAGATGCTCACGCGTGCGTGTGCTCATCTCGCAGTGGAGAGAATCACACGCCTCGGGCTTTCACTGGATCAATTTTGTTGCAGTTACCGGGCGCACAAAGGTCACTGCATTCGCTGCAATCTCCATTTGCAAGAAGGGCGCGCTTTTCAGACACAACAAAGTAACACCTGAGACACTTGTTCGCGTGCATCTGTACCTGCGAGTACGTGTCGTGTCTCACTTTTGCGTGAGCCACTCGGGGCACACTTCAATCTCCTTGCCATTGTTCCCGTAGCATTACTACTTGTTGCTATTGCATTGTTTGCTGCGCCTTTGCAGTGAAACTGTGACTTCTTTTTTAACATTAAGGTGTTTCATACTGCATGGGGGTCCATTAAGGCTTAACTAACGTACTTTTATGACGAAAATGACGTCAAAAACATTGCACGTTTAGAAGGCAACAAACGAAAGTTTTGTGAACGAGAGTCGAACACTTGGCTTTTGGGTCCATGACTACAAATACCGGGCAGGCTATGCACGGCCACATGCATTGCAGATTAAAAAAAATACATCGTTGATATCTAGCACTATTCTATCACGGTGTTCTTGGTAAATAGCTATAATTAATCATGACTATAACAGCCACGAATAATTCGTTCAGCGCGTCATTTCTAAGCTCCTATCCCATTCGATGCCTTTGCAATAGGAGCATTGCAGTTTTGTCAACGCATTAGCACACCCCACATGGCAACCTTACCCCAAGTGCCATAGTCACTCATAGCATTCATTCATACCAAAAAATAACTCGCGCTCCTGCCAGCTTCTCAGGCTTTAACTTTGCGTTCCCCACTTACGCTTGCCTCGCAAATAATTGCGCCCGGCGAAAGGTTAGACAATACACGCGTTGCGTTTTGTTCTGGTCGGGCAGTGATGTTTAATAATTTCCATATGCCCCGAGTAGACGAAGTTAGCCTCAATTCCAGTTCGCTATAGCCTCAATTCAATGTACAATCAGCCATGCTCTTTTGGCTGTCAAGTTGCTTTCTCTGGTTCCACTCTTGATGTTTACTATACAGCTACCACAAGCGTCTGTTACCACAAGGGTCTGTCTCATCATTAATAATGGACCTTAGTCGTCAAAATGAAGATGCATTATTAGGCGCCAACCTGGATGCACCCCCATTAAGTGGTGCTAAAGCTGTCGAACACCTATAACAATTGCGCAAGCTCTCTCATACTAATGCACGGTATATGTTAAACTACTATAAGAACACGTTTTACTTTCGCGTTTTACCGATTGCTATGACCGAGGGATCAACCAATTTTATTTTTATTTTTATCTCTCTAGCCAGCCCATCCGTACAGCTTCGGCTACGATTCCAAGGACGAGTTCGGCACTCATCAATACCGCAACGAAGTGAGCGACTCGGCCAATCAGAAGCGCGGAAACTACGGCTACAAGGACGCCGGTGGTGTCTTTAGGCAAGTCGACTACGTGGCCGATGCCGCGGGTTTCCGGGCCAACGTATACACCAACGAGCCGGGTACAGCGCCATTCGGAGCCCGCAGCCGCCGCCTACACCGCCCCGGCAGCCGCCCCAGTAGCTGCTGCTCCCGTGGCCGTGGCAAGACCTGCCCTTCCCGCGGCTCCTGTTGTGGCCGCAGCTCCTGTTGTGGCCGCGGCTCCGGTCAGGCCCGCAGTGAGGCCCGCAGCGGTGGCCCTTCCAGCGCCCCCACCGGCTCCCCTGGTGTACGCACCACCTCCCGTGGCCAAGCCACTCCCAGCTCCACTCTCAGCTCCAGTCGCAGCACCAGCCCCAGCTCCTTACCCCGCCGTGTTTCACGCACCAGCGCCATACTTCACACAGGCGGTTCCTGCTGCAGCGCCAGTTGTGCACTCTGTCGCACCCGTTGTACCGGCGGCACCGGTTGTGCCCGCAGCACCGGTTGTGCCGGCAGCGCCGGTTGTGCCCGCAGCGCCGGTTGTGCCCGCGGCACCGGTTGCACCAGCCCCGGCACCTCTGCTACCAGCGCCATTCCACTACGGCGTGAGGCCGCCCGTCGCCCTGACGGCTCCAGGACCATCACCAGTCGCGGTCGCCGCGCCCTACGTTCACTATTATTAGGAATCTCCTTGACGAATTGTCCTGGACTCTCTAATCATTCATCACATCTGTCACTTTATCACCAAGCTATGTTCTTGTCCAGTGGCGAAGAAAAGACACTCACAGGCAGATCACGTGCCGGACAAGCCTAAGTGCATATACTTCCCTTTAAGCTCAAAATAAATAGTACCACCGACAACATGAATAAACGGGTTGCAAAGTCTTAAATAGTTATGATATGAAAGGCCTTGCCAGGTCTACGAACAATTTAGACCGACGAAGATTGGTCATGTAGCTACCCATGTTATCATATTGCATGTGAGACGAGGACACAGCTAAGGAGCACAACACCAAAGGGGTGTTATGTCTTTCCTATAGCGCATGTTTGTTTGAGATCTTCCTCGGGAACTCTGCCATAGTTGCCTTCATATTGAGTTGGAGTTTCTTTCTCCACCGATTCAGCTAACTAGGCACTGTAGCATGCTCAGGGTGCGGGATAACGTCGTTGTGATTCGTGTAGTTATTTCTCCCTTGATTTCCATAACTATCGCCAAGCGACGCTTGAAACCAGCGCATAGCAGTTGTTGAATCTGTAGCTGCATAGAAGATTTCAGTAATAGCGTTACAGCGCTCATTACGTTTACGTGACCTTCTTATAATGCTTCCCACCTGGAAAAAAGTCACCCGTATGGTTAAGCTATTTATGACTAAAACGAGCTCAATTCATCTCATTTTCGGGCAGTTCGCTAAGTTCGCGTTACAAAAATGCGAAAATGGGTCCATGCATGGAACTCTTCGAGAACACAGATATCCTGTGTCAACGCTGAATTTCTAGGTGAGAATCACCATTGCAATGGCAAAACCACCAGCACATTGTATGCAGATAAAACGTACTCGTCACAATAGGCAGCACAGCGTAACATTTAAACGTTAGGTACACAAATTTCACGCACTTTCGTTTAGTATTCTGCCCTGTATTCTAGTCTAACACTTAAAAAAATGCATGCATGCAATAATATTCCCTTTGCTCAGGAACCTGCTTTGTTCAACATGAAGGATTTAAATTCACTTTTAAAGAAGTTTTTGTCTGCTGGGACTCTGAAGCCAGTAGCACAAACACAGTAAATTTTTTTTCAATTGTGCTCGCTTTATGTTACCTGAAAGGGTTTCAGATAGCATGAATTTATCATGTCCTTCAATGAAGCAATCAGTTTTTCATTCGTCGTCATTCCTGTTTCTGACATAATAGAAATGTGTACAGTGCACTAGTATCAATAAAGAAGCTCAAAAAGGCATGTTCAGTTTGATTCTTTTTTAGACCACCTTGCTGATGGCTGATAGATTCTCCAGTATAGAATAAATCATTAACACAAAGAATTCATACTGTCCTAAAGCTTTCCTTTAATTTATTTCTGTCTCAATAGTCTGACCTAAAGAATGATCCATGCCCACCTATGGCAACCATTGTCACAAAGTTATGTTTATGACTTGTATAAGTGACCAGCGCTGCAGAGTGCATCCGGAACTGAAAGAAAGAAATGCATCAATACCAATATAAATGTTCCATTAGGTATTTGTAGTGCTATGCTGAGGCGTGAAGACATTGAGGGTCGAGGACATTGCACTTATTAATTTCATCCATTTTCTTTATGTTGTATCACAACCTGAATATTGCATGTAAAGCCCTTACCCACTCTGTCTATAGCCGGACACACACAAACCTAGCTACACGCTGAAGTCTTTCTAAGAAAAAAACAAAAACCTGAGTAACTATGTTGAGTTACTCAAAAATTGCGAGCTGTCATGATATATTTGTTTTCACTTGAAGGTGACGAAGTACCTATCTTATCATCATCATCATCATCATCATCATCATCATCATCATCATCATCATCATCAGTCTGACTACCTCCACTGTAGGACAAAGGTCTCTCCAATGTTCTGCCAGTTAACCCGGTCCTGTGCTTGCTGCTGCCAATTTATACCCGCAAACTTCTTGATCTCATCTGCCCACCTAACCTTCTGTCTCCCCCTAAGCCGTTTGTCTTCTCTGGGAATCCAGTTAGTTACCCTTAATCACCAGCGGTTATCCTGTCTACGTGCTACATGCCCGGCCCATGTTCATTTTCTCTTCTTGATTTCAACTATGATATCCTTAACCCCCGTTTGTTCCCTAATCCACTCTGCTCTCTTTTTATCTCTTAAGGTTACACCTACCCTTTTTCTTTCCATTGCTCGCTGCGTCGTCCTCAATTTAAGCTGAACCCTCTTTGTAAGTCTCTAGCTTTCTGCTCCGTAGCTAAGCACCGGCAAGATACAGCTGTTATATACCTTTCTCTTAAGGGATAGTGTGAATCTGCCTGTCCTAATTTGAGAGTGCTTGCCAAATGTGCTCCGCCCCATTCTTATTCTTCTAGTTACTTCAATCTCGTGGTTCGGCTCCGCGGTTATTACTGCCCTAAGTAGACCTAGCTTATATTAGGTATATAAAGTGACAGAGTACAACGTCAAAAACAATGGATCAACGCGAAACACTCGTGCAAATGAGTAATGAACACAACTGATTCGCAGATTTGCTTTCACAAAATGTACCCTATTCACAAAACTCGTTGCCAGGGAAGGGACCAGGGCCAGAGCGTATAGTAAACAGACATACTGTACACATTCGTAGTGCTTTCGCAAATCTGTGAGGAGCGGCTTTCTCTAAACGCACCTCCGTGAAGGAAAAGGCCGCACAAGCAGACACCAATGACAAGGTTGTATAAGTCATCATTCCTACTTTCTGAATCTGAATTATACTTACCGTACTTTGTAGTGGATGTCTTCTTCACAACAGTACATCACGTCCATCAGACATTTTAACGATCCACTTCTAAATCGAAGCTGTGTTGAAAGAGAAATTGTGATACTGATTGAAGCTGCGGACAATAAATAGCCCGGCTGAGTCGAACAGGCCACTCCACATATGTATGGGTACAAATTGCAACGTGGATGGATCCATAAGAACAAAGTAATCTTAGGCCGTAACAAGTTAATATTACGTGAACTTCGGATAAAAGGAATACAAGTATTAGACCACCGAAGGTAGTTGATGGCAAACAGAAGTGTAAGTCTATTCGGTCATTCCAGCGACGCAGGCGGCGTCATGTAGCCGTGCTCAGAAGCTGTCACACGGTGATAAAATAGCGACGCAGTTCAGTCTCTCAGTAGTCATAAACCAATGAACGCGTATTCACGCTCTACGACGCTGACGTAAACGCTCGCGACATCACCTTCTCGTCCGCCATTTCGATCTTCCGCTGCGCCACCTATAGTCGCTGGAATGGTCGAATACAATTGAAGAGGAACGACTTAGACATCTTGCTGAGCAACGATCGTAATTGCACGAGCGCAAACACCGGCAGTTAGAAATGCTAGCGTGCTTCCGTGTAACAACTCCTTGGTGCAGGAACCACACATTCGTAAGGCAGTGCTCTCTCTTCACCTGTCAACCAACAGACCTAAAATGTCATATGTCATGGCACTCACAAAGAAAGCATACATACGGCTGACCATGGCACTGATGCATAGCAAGCATATACACTCTGTTACAATCTCTATGTGCGCACAAACTACGGTATCGGCCGGCATTGACGTTACACAGATAAATTTTATTAAGATCGCCTGCGCACTTCAGGCAGTCGCACGAACAAACCACCCCGAGAAGACGTATCGGCAGTATATTCTAAGTCAGAAATGCTCTACTTGACCACCATGGCAGCGGAAAGAAAATACAGATTAGTCGATCAAGAGCAATCTACGCTTGGGAAGAGTGGTGAGCGCGCGCCAAAGAAAGATATTTCTGAGCACGTGGGTGTTTAAGACAACCATCGCCAAGCGTGTTTATAAATGCGAGGAAGTTGCTCTGGTTCCTCGCGCGGTGTTATTTTCGGTGGCGGCCGTCGCGTTCCAAGTTGATCCGAAGTGTCGGGTATTTAGAGATAGTTCCTGACACCCACCCGCCTTCGGAAGCCCCGTGGCCGGTTTCAGACGCGGAAATGCGTACGTGGGAAAAATGGCAGAGCCGATTCTGAGCTTCCGCTGACTTGTTTTCTGTTCCCTTGTCCTGTTATCACCCAAAAGTGGTTCACAAGGAACCACTTTGAGAGTTGGGCAGAATGAGCTCATCACACTAAAGCAAACGCGGGTTTAGGGGGAAAAAAGAGCCGCACTCTTCTTATATTTGCTAAAACTGTCTTATAGTCCGATTGCTGCTCTGGAGCCGAGAAATAGCTGGATTTTAGGCGCGAATATTCTTAAGCCCTGGGTCTGTAGGTGCACGTTTCTCTTGTTATACGGGGCCGCCTAAGTCTATGACTGATTCAGCAGGTGCGGACGGATGGACGGACGGACGGATGGACGAACAGACAGACAGACAGACAGACAGACAGACAGACAGACAGACAGACAGACAGACAGACAGACAGACAGACAGACAGACAGACAGACAGACAGATGGAGTATTCACGGTTTATTGATAAAACCCTCCGAAGCTTCGCCCCATTCATCATCATTCACTACGTGGATGTGCTTTACTTTTTTTTCCCCACATCTCAAGGTTACCACGTATTCATGCTAAATAATATCGTACAAGACCTCACAAAAGCAAGGAGTCATGCCTATTGCTGCCTCCTTCGCTTAGAACGTACATCGGGGCAAATTCACCGTTCAGTGCGTTTACGGACTCTATCGGAGCCACCAGTATTGTCAGAAAACGTAAGCACGTGTTTCAAGCCATCATGCATTTTAGACTAGGTCAACTGACCTTACTCGCCTGTGTTTTAACTGCTTGGCAAAATATCTGATTTACAAGACGATCTGGCTGAGAAATTTCATCATTCACTAATGACCATGTAGTGAGAGGCAGAGCGACGTGGCCAGACGTGAATAATCTCGCTACTTCACTTGAAAGGGTCGAAACGAAGCGGCGGCGGCTGCCAGCGTCCCCACCGTCAAGCGCTCAAACTCGTTCAGTAATAGCA